GGAGGAGGAGGAGGAGCAGGAGGAGCAGGCGGATGACGAGGAGGAGGGGGTGGAGGATGAAGAGGAGGAGGAGGAGCAGGAGAAGGAGGAGGAGGAGGAGGAGGAGGAGGAGGAGGGGGAGGAAGTGGACGAGGTGGAGGCGGAGGCGGAGGAGGAGAAGGAGGAGGAGGAGGCGGAGGAGGAGATCCTGTGCCCAGGACGGGCCCGGGCCAGCATCGGTGAGGCGGCCAGCCGACGCCCCCCCAGACAGCGCTCCGACGGAAGATCAAAGAGAACCACCCATAGTCGGAGAAGAGAAACGGAATGAGCATAAATTTGTGGCGCTCCGCGCAGAGCTCTTGGATCGGTGTCCTGATCCCCCTGGCAGCGCCTCCAGCGCCGCCCCGGGCGCGCTCCGCGCGCCTGGGATGGGGTTCTGGCCCAGGTCCGAGAAAAATCCGCGCGGAGCGCCAGACGTTTATGTTTCTGCCGTTTTTGTTCCTCGAGCCCAGACGTCGTGAAGGATGACGGGACGCGGCTGCAAAAGGTCAGGGAGGCCTACGCCGTGCTCGACGCGGACAACGTGCCGAGCAACTGGAACCTCGAGGACTTCGAGCCCCACAGTCGGTCGCGGGCCCCCCGCAGGGCTTCCTCGCCTGCCACGGGCAACGTGGGCAGCTGGTCCAGTGGAGGGAGACAACACGATTACCATGTTGAGGGCTGAGCGAGGAAACGTCGGTGTCGATCGTCGAAGAGGGGTGATCACGATCGACAGCAGAAGGAACCAAAACGCCATACACAAACTTTGGCGCTCCGCGCGGAGCGCGCCAGGGGCTGCGCCGGAGGCGCCGCCAGGGGGGGGGCCCAGCGCAGATCCAAGAAATCCGTGCGGAGTGCCAAAAGTTTATCCTCGTCTAGTGTCGATTGTGGTCACCGCGAGTCATCTTGGCGAACTGGCGGCGGTCTGCATAAAAGCCATGGCCGAGGTCGGACCCCGCGACATCTCGGTCATGGTCATCGTGTTTCTTCCCTCCATCCAGCCCCTCCGCCCAGAGGAAGGCGGCAGAGATGGAGGAGGAGAGGTGGCGGAAGTCGGCGGCCAGTGCAGCGCCGAGCTCTGAGGAAGATCGGGCCAGGCGGCGCGCGAACGCAGCCGAGTTGGAGAGGCAGGGCTGGGTGAAGAATCTGATGAACGAGCAGATAGACAATCAGGTTTTCCAGTCGTCGCGGCCCGGTCAAAAGGCACCCACGCTGACGATGGATTGGTACCGGGCAATGACCAACATCCGTGTCAGGGCGGAGCCGAACGTGCAGAGCCCTGCCTTGGGCACTGTTATTTAATCGCTTCGCTCATTCCGCCAGCCCTGGAGCGCTATTTGGGGCCTCTTGGGGCCGTCTTGGGGACTTCTTGGGGGGCTTCTTGGGAGCGTCTTGGGGCTCCTTGGCGGCGTCTTGGGCTCCCCTGGGGCTCCTCTGGGGCGGGAGGGGGGGTAGTCGATTGCAGCCACCCCCTCGGAGGCCACGATCCTCGAAATGGGTGGCGAAAAATAGCCTCCCCCCTGGGGATCGCCCAGGACCCGGCCGGGGATCGGCCGGGGTACTTTTCGTCCGAGGGCCCCCAGGGGCCGCCCCGCGCGCGCGACCATAGAAATAGTGTTAAGTACTCCAGATTTCGTAATAGAGGGAGGGGGGTCTCAGTTCGGGGGGGGTCTCTTCCAGGCTATCTTGGAGGGCCTGGGGTGTCTGGGGACGATGTTTTGGAGGGTTCTCCCACGGGGGAGGTCTGAAATGGCTTGTCTTGGAGGGTCCAGACCCCCTCCCTTTTATTACGAAATCTGGAGTAGTTACCGGAGATCTTAGCACGCCTCTAGCCCGTTGGGCCGGCGAATTCGCGAGGGCGAGACAGTTCAGGTCAACGCCGAGCTGGTGGAGAGTGGGCAGAAGTTCTTGAAGCTCAAAAACCAGGACGGGTGGGTCTTTCAGAGGGGAGTCTCTGGCGAGTGGAAGGGCAAGCAGATACTGGTGAGGTTCTGAAGCACTAGCCCATGTGAGTAGCATCTGCTCTCTGCGACAGCCTCCTTTGTATAATTCAGCGTTCGCAAGGCATGCGTAGAGTTTTACAGTTTCGGATGTAGCCCGAACTTGCTTTCTGCAAAGTAAGCGCCGGCTAACTGCCTGTGTGATTGGCTTGGTGATGGATTGTCTGGACTGACGTGGTGAGCCCTCCTGGGGCCATCTTATAAGCGGGCAAGACTTCTGTCCATATCCATTGCAGCTTGAAGTTTCGGGCTCCCTTCCCCAGAAAGCCGAGGCGCACTGGATTGCAATGAAAATCTGGCCTCTAAATGTTCGATTTTTATCCATATCCAGTGCGCCTCGGCTTTGCGGCGCCTCTTCCAAGAAAGTCCACGACGCGCTGGATATGGATATATTGCCCGCGTCAAGGGCCCTCGGTCAAACAAGGGGGGGTCCCTGATTAGGGTCCCCCCGTCGCAGCCCTCTGAATCGCATCGTGGCTGCTCTTGAGGCACAGTTTAGTGTTTTGGGGGTCGTCTTGGAGCCCTCCTGGGCCCCAATCGTGAAACCGTCTTGATGCCCCTAAAGCTCACCAAGAGCAAACTGACGAGGAGGCAACATATGCACACTGATTCATATCATGGTTTTTTAGTGGTAATTCTTTACGCTTCGCGTATCCCCACCAGCCCATCTCACAGCAGCAACTCTTGCGAAGCATGCCGACAGTCGTGTTTTTCAGGCGTGTGTCCGCTTGGCCCCGCATATCTCCCCTGTTCCTCCTTCCTCCCGCCTCCTTGTACATCCTCCTTGTGGGGGGAGCGGGAGAAGGACGAGGCGGAGGAGGAGGGAGAGAAAGCGCTCCTCGTGATTTGAGTCGTTTGGGGTTTCTCGTCCTGGTGTGAGTCGTTCGGGCCCTTCTTCCTGGTGTGAGTCGTTCGGGCTCTTCGTGGTGTGAGTCGTTCGGGCTCTTCGTCCTGGTGTGAGTCGTTCGGGCTTCTCGTGGTGTGAGTTGTTCGGGCCCCTCGTCCTGGTGTGAGTCGTTCGGGCCCCTCCTCCTGGTGTGACTCGTTCGGGCTCCTCGTGGTGTGAGTCGTTCGGGGCCCTCGTCGTGGTGTGAGTCGTTCGGGCTCCTCGTGGTGTGAGTCGTTCGGGCGCCTCGTCCTGGTGTGGGTCGTTCGGGCCCCTCCTTGTGGTGTGAGTCGTTCGGGCTCTTCGTGGTGTGAGTCGTTCGGGCCCCTCGTCCTGGTGTGAGTCGTTCGGGCTCCTCGTGGGGCCTCTTGGGGGCCTCTTGGAGCCTCTTGGGGCCTCTTGGGGGCCTCTTGAGGGCCTCTTGGGGGCCTCTTGGGGGCCTCGTGGGGCCTCTGGGGGCCTCTTGGGGGCCTCTTGGGGGCCTCTTGGGGGCCTCTTGGGGCCTCTTGGGGGCCTCTTGGGGGCCTCTTGGAGGCTTCTTGGGAGGCTCCTGGGGGCCACTTGGGGCCATCTTGGGGCCTCTTGCGACCTCCTCAGAAGCGCAAATAAGCGCTGCCTCCTGAGAAGGACAAAATGAGCCCAAAACCTTTGTAAAATCAATGATTTTGCTATGAAGGAAGATGGGCGCGGCCCCGTCAGGAGGCCAAAATGGGGCCAAAACTGTAGTAAAATCAAGGGTTTTGGTTTCAAAGAAGGGGAGAGGGACTTATCTCCGTCCCCCCGTCGGGGCCAGAATCCTCGTGAGGGTCGTCGTTTTTTAGCCCTCCCAGGAGTCGTAAAAGACCCCTCCAACGACCCGCCAAACCCCCTCTCAAGGTCCAGGTGGAGGGGGTAGGGGGAGGGGTAAACCAAACCCCTCCCCGAAGGGGAAGAAGGGGGGTTGAGGACAGAGCGGGCTCTCTAAACCACTCACGCCCAAAGGGCTGGTGGGATTAGTTGGCTCTCGTGTGCGTCCACTTGGATCGTCTAGGGCGGTCTCTGGCCTCTTGAAGTCATGCTGGAAGCAGTCTTGGACCATCCTGGTCTGTCTTGTGCTATCTTGGAGGCCATCCTGGACCATCTTGGAGTCAATGGTGCCAGCCGCAGTGACGACGCCATCGCCGACGCCGTCGCCGCGTCAGCCAGCCGCAGTGAGCTCAGTGTGAAGTCGGGCGTGCCCCTCGACAGGAGGAGTGTTCAAAAATAGTCCAGCAATGGTCTGGGGACGATTTTTCCATTATGTTGCGACTATTTCCGATTTCTCTTTTTTATTTATATACACACGCACTTAAATTTGCACATAAAGCTCTATATGCAATTGTTTCGCCCATAGTCCGCCTGTAGGAGGACATGCCCGACCTGACTTCTGCGCCTTCCTGCCCGCCAGGCCGGCGCCTCCGTGTAGGGCGCGCGCGGCCTCTCGCGGAAGGGGCGCGGCGCACGCACGCCCCCGCACGCGCGCCCGGGGGGCGCCTCGCGGCCCGGCGCGCCCTTTTGCGTGCGCGGGCTCCGGCGCGTCGAGGGCTTTTCGGGGCTTTGCTCGGGGGCCCCCAAACGGTGTGGTGACCACACCGTGCGGTGAGTCGGTGGGGATTTGGGGTCACCGCACGGTTTTGGGACTCGAGTCGTTCTCCGAGGACGTCTCGGGCGACTGGGGCATCTGAGGTCCCAAAACCGTGCGGTGACGGACCGTGCGGTGAGGTCTTCGGGGGTTTCGAGGTCACCGCACGGTCTGTCACCGCACCGTTTCGGGACTCCAAATTTGCCCAGGCGGAGGCTTAAATCGTCGGGCCCTTTTGGGCTTGGGGCGTCGGCAGCTAGACAACGCCAGAACGCGAAGCACATGGACACAAACACACGCAAGGAAACTCAATGATTTTTTGCCTCTTTGGGCGCTCGTGAGGGTTCTATTGGAGCGCTTTGGGGGCGGATGACTGGGGGGGGGCTCCGCGGTGGAGGGCGGGAGGTGGCGCAGAGGCGGCCCAGGCGCGCTCGGCCGGGGAGGGAAGGGGGAGTTTGAAGGGGATGGGGAGGGGTACGATCGGGGGAGGGAAAGGGTATCGATACAGCCCTTCTCTTAGTGTTCGCCTTCTCGGGCCTCCTGGACGGCCCTCGTCGTTTCGGGGGGGCGAGGAGGAGGGGGGAGGAGGAGGGGGAGGAGGAAGGGGGAGGAGGAGGACGTGGAAGAGGAGGAGGAGGAGGAGCGCAAAGAAGAAGGAGGAGGAGGGAAACAGAGGAAGAGGAGGAAGAGGAGGAGAGAAATAGTAATACTCAGAAGACGGAGGAGGAGGAGGAGGAGGAGGAGGAGGAGGAGGAGGAGGAGGAGAGGAGGAGGAGAAGGAGAGGGGTGGAGAAGGAGGACGAGGAGGGCCAGCCAGGAGGAGGGAGGATGAGAAGGTGGTGGGGGAGGGGGAGGTGGAGGAGGAGAGAGGAGGGACGACGGAGGAGAGGAAGGAGGAGGGGGAGGATGACAACGGAGGAGAGGGAAGGGGGAGGAGGAGGAACAGGATTTGAGGAAGAGCAGCAGGAGGCAGGATGAGGACGGGTTCACTATTGCTCAAGGGCGATGATGCGCGTGATCGCCGTGTCCGCGCGTGCGTCTCACAAACGTTGTGCTGTTTGTTTTCGCGGATGTGTTCGTTCGCCTGCGCGCGGGAGAACAATTCTTGCTCCTCCTACTATTATTTATCTTCCTCCTCTTCCTCCCCAGCCTCCTCCTCCTCCTCCTCCTCCTCCTCCTTCTCCTCCTCCCCCATTTTGGCTCAAGCGATCGCACGGCCGCGTCTCCTTCCTTTCCTTGCGGGACCGCGGGATGGCGCTGCCTAGAGGGGCTCGCGCGGCGCCTGTGGACCTGGCGGCCCTCGTGGCTGCAGCGGTCCGAGGAGCCGTGGACGGCTGCGCGCCGCGCCGCACTGTCGCCGCCGTGGCACGCTCCGAAGTGTCGGCCGCCGCTTTCGCGGCGCGGCCGACTCCGCGGGAGCCTGCCGATGCGGGCGACGAGGTGCGCCCTGGGGTGCCTGCCGACGCTGCTCTTCGCGTTCCCTCGGAGGCGCTGCGTGAGCGGCGGCGCAGGCGCCGTCAGAGGCGTGCAGGGCGGCGCGCACTGGAGCGAGGGGAAGCTGCGGCGATGGAGGATGCAGTGGTGGCGGGTGTCCTGCCGCCTGCTGCGCCCCCCGCTGCCGCTGGCAGCCCCGACGTGGACGTCGACGGAGGCTGCGACGACGACGTCGGGTTTGACGACGCCTGGGTTGGCAAGGCCGCGTCGAGGAGGCGCAGGCCGAGTCCTGCGGGGGCGCGTGTTGCTGCGGGAGGCCCTGCTGGGGTAGGCGGCGTGCCGCCTGCGGCGGCTGGAGCTGACCGCGGTGGCGGTGGCGGTGCAGCGGCGGCAGCGCCTGCGGCGGCTGTTGCCGCGCTGGCGCTGGCGGCGACTGGAGCAGATGGTGCGGGCCTCGCCCCGCCGTCCGCGGAGGTTGCCGTCATGGTGGCTGCGCCGCCCGCGGATGCTGGGGGGGGGGGGTTCTGCGGAGCTCGTGGCGGCCGCTACCGCCGCTGTTGCGGCGGCTACGGCTGGCGGAGCCGATGATGCGGCACGCAGTGCGGCCGTGCAGGATCTCGGGCGGCTGACAGCGCGCTTGGCGGAGCTCGAGGAGCAGGAGCTCGAGGAGCAGTCGGCGAACGGCCGCTGGCCCGGCGCAGCGAAGGGGAGGCAGCGGAAGGGTCGGCGATGATGCCTTGCCCCCCGCGGAGGGGGGAGGCCGCCTGCCCCTTCCCCCCTTCCCTGCCATGGTGTTCGTCTTCGGCGAGTTTACGTCCGACGACGCGGTCGGGGACCTGGCACTTCAGGTGGTGACCAGGTCCCCGCGGGCGCGGCCGCGCTGCGGCCGCGTAGTCCCGCGAGACTCTTCCCCTCGGGGCTGTCCTACCTACCTACCTACCTTCTCATCCTCCCCCGCCTTCTCCTCCTCCTCCTCCGCCTCCTCCTCCGCCTCCTGCTCCTTTTCCTCTCCCCCCCCTCTCACATTATGGGCTCTGTGGCCCTCAGCCATTGATCTGGGGCGAGTTCCCGGGGAAGGGCACGTGACCTGTGTGGCCTCTATTGGGCTTTTTGGGGGCTCTTCTGGGGGCCTCTAGGGCCGTCTGACTTTGAGGGACGTCCGACAAGATGAAGCCGCGCAAGTCTATGAACAGTCGCAGCGTCCAGATCAAGCCTTGTTCTCGAGATCCCCTCCCTGCCGACCAAGCTCCTGAGCGCAGGGGAGGGGGTCGTGGCTGCAGCTCTCAGGAAGAAGCAAGAGGGCCACCAGCACCCACAGGGCGGACAGGGGACGAGACATGGAGGGAGGACCTGGGCACAACACGCGCAAAAAAAAAAAATCAATTTCTGGAGGGGGAAACGAACCTTTGCCCTGCCCCTCCCTGTTTCCTGGCATCGTTCGGGCGTGTGCATTTTTTCGTCGGCGAGGGCCACCGAGGAGCATCCTGGACCATCGAGCCCAAACACACGCACGACATCGAACAATGCACGGGGAATGGACGTCCGAGCGATGGCGAGGTTTCGTGCCGCCCGCCCTCGCCGCTCCGCCCGCGCAGCGGATTCTTCCGCCCGCGCCCCGGGGGGTGTAGCGTAGCCAGGATGTCCCGCGGGCGACGGTCGCACGGCCCCCGCTTCCCCCGCCCAGGCGAAAACATGTTTTGTGCAGCCCCCGGCGGCGACTGGCATGGCGTCGGTGAAGAAGGCGATGATCTTCGGATCAAGCCGTCTAGGAAAGGATCCAAGCGAGGGGGCGCCGAACACGTTCACGTAAACATTGTCTGCGTATGATTCCGTTCCGGGCGAGCAGGATGGGTGCACTCGCGCCGGAATGTCTGAATGCTTTGCGGCCTCAGGGGCCCAGTGTTGGGACCAGGAGGGGTCTGGGGGCAGATTCTGGCAAGGTTTGAGGTTAGGACGAGGATCGAGCAACGAGGGCCGAGGATCAAGTTGCTCGAGGGCTTTTACCTAACAGCTTTTGCTGATAATTAGGTTTCCAGTGGAATCAAAAGAGAGAGAGAGAGAGAGAGAGAGAAAGAGAGAGAGAGAGAGAGAGAACGAGAAAGAGAGAGAGAGAGAGAACAAAAGAGAGAGAGAGAGAGAGAGAGAGAGCATCTTGACGCCCCAGGGGGGTCTGGGCGGGATCCAGACAGATCCGGCGGCCTAGGAATCCCTAGGAATTCTGAGGAATCCTTAGGAATCCATTCCCAGAGCAGCATTCCCAGGCCACATTTTGAGTGACCAAAGCCAATTGTAGGCCATTTCGTGTTCTTCGTGTTCCCAAAACACAATTCCCAGGCCACAGTTTGAATGCCCAGAGCCAACTGTAGGCCACTTCGTGTTCTTCATGTTCCCGGAACGCCATTCCCAGGTCACATGTTGAATGCCCGGAGCCAATTGTAGGCCCCTTCGTGTTCTTCGTCTTCCCAGAGCACCACTCCCAGGCCACATTTTGAGTGCCCGGAGCCAACTGTAGGGTACTTCGTGTTCTTCGTTTTCCCAGAACACCATTCCCAGGCCACATTGTGAATGCCCCGAGCCAACTGTAGGCCACTTCGTGTTCTTCATGTTCCCGGAACACCATTCCCAGGCCACATGTTGAATGCCCGGAGCCAACTATAGGCCCCTTCGTCTTCTTCGTCTTCCCACAGCACCATTCCAAGGCCACATGTTGAATGCCCGGAGCCAACTGTAGGCCACTTCGTGACTTCTTCGCGTTCCCAGAACACCAGTCTTGTGCCTTTTTTAAAATTCCCGAGCTGAGGCAGGTTGAGGCCGAGGCAGCCAGGCAGGCTGAGGCTGAGGCTGAGGCACGCCGAAGCAGGCTGAGGCTCAGGCTGAGGCAGGCTGAGGCTGAGGCAGGCTGAGGCTGAGGCTGACGCAGGCTGAGGCCGAGGCAGGCTGAAGTTGAGGCTGAGGCAGGCTGAGGCTGAGGCCGGCTGACTGAGACTGAGGCTGAGGTAGGCTGAGGCTGAGGCTGAAAGGCTGACGCTGAGACTGAGGCAGGCTGAGGCTGAGGCTGAGGCAAGCCGAGGCAGGCTGAGGCTGATGCTGAAGCTGAGGCAGGCTGAGGCTGAGGCTGCGGCTGAGGCTGAGGCTGAGGCAAGCTGCGGCTGAGGAGGCTGAGGCTGCGGCTGATGCAGGCTGAGGCTGAGGCAGGCTGAGGCTGAGAGACTGAGGCTGAGGCTGAGGGCTGAGGAGGCAGGCTGAGGCTGAGGCCGAGGCAGGCTGGAGGCTGAGAGGCAGCTGAGGCAGGCTGAGGCTGAGGCTGAGACTGATGCAGGCTGAGGCTGAGAGGCTGACGCTGAGGCTGAGGCAGGCTGAGGCTGAGGCCGAGGCAGGCTGAGGCTGAGGCTGCGGCAAGCCGAGGCAGAATGAGGCTGAGAGGCTGAAGCTGAGGCAGGCTGAGGCAGTGGCTGAGGCTGAGGCAAGTTTCGGCTGAGGCAGGCTGAGGCTGAGGCTGATGCAGGCTGAGGCTGAGGCAGGCTGAGACTGAGAGGCTGACGCTGAGGCTGAGGCTGAGGCTGAGGCTGAGGCTGAGGCCGAGGAGGCAGGCTGAGGCTGAGGCTGAGGCTGAGGCCGAGGCAGGCTGAGGCTGAGGCTGAAGCTGAGGCAGGCTGAGGCTGAGGCTGAGGCTGTGGCTGAGGCTGAGGCAAGCTGCGGCTGAGGCT